AGAGTGTCAGTTAGGGAAGCTGAAGAGTTCTGGAGATTGGGTCCACAATAACGTGAATGTACTGAACACTACTAAACTGTACACTTAAAAATGGTTAAGATGGTACATTTTATGCTCTATATATTTTACCACAATTAAACATATTTTAAGTGGTAGAAGAAAATCAAGAGCAATTAATGTCATGAAGCCAAGTTGGTAGAGGGATTTTAGAGGACCATGATCCTCAGTGCCTATTGCAGCAGAGAGACCCAGGAAGACAGAGTGAGCATTGAGATTGGGCTCCTGTGAAAGCTAGAAGTTAATGTCTCAAGACATTGGTTTGCATTTAGAAGCTCAGAAATTCTAGGAGCTGATCGATGAAAGGAAGGGCTCCAAAATTAGCTTTCTTCACCCCGTCTTAGCATTATGCGATGGATCCAGGTTCTGGAAATTCAGTTACAAGTAGCAGTGTGCCTTCCCTGATGCAACGTAAGTTCCCAGGGGAACTTGAGCTACTTTCAGAAGTCTGTGGAGCCCCAATTACCCTCAGTGATTGATGTCCAAAAGGAATATGCTTTTGTCGCAGTCAGACACTGTGTGACTCGCCTTATGTAGAAAAAGGGATTAGGGTCGGGACTTATATCTGGGCTGGATGTTTTATATTACATTTCATTGAACATTCCTAGCAGCCCTGTAAGGTAGCTCCCTTTTTAAGATCTCCATTTTATAGATGAGGAAATGGAGGCCTAGGGTCTCCTAGTGAGTCAGTGGTGAACTCATGTCTGCCTGACTCTGGGTTGATGAGAGCAGCTCCACCAAAGGTCTCAGGCAGTTAGGATGAATTTTGATTCTTCTTTCCTCCCTGAGTCTCCCTACCCCTCTCTTTGCTGTTCTCTCCACCCACTTCCTCTATCCCCACTGAAGAGATAAATCAAGGATGGGCTCAAAAATATCCCTTCTCCAATTTGTATCTCTTAGCAAAGTGAATCAAGGATGAAGAATGAAGAAAGTATTATAGATAACGAGTACATTTCCTTCATCGCCAGTCCCTAACTGACCAAAACCAAAACAAAACAGATAAAAAACATGATACAAAATTTCCCTGTACTCTTCAGGCAATTACCCTAATTCTCTTTCTCTTGTACAGTGAAGAGCAGGCACCATCCCAAGATGTGGAGGGTACTGCCACAGAAGGCTCATGATGATTCTCAGCAGAGGCTGCTCTGGGGTGGGATCCCTGTGTACCTCCCAGCCAAGCTCTCTTTCCTTTCCTCTGAACCGCAGGCTGGGACTGACAGTTGAACAAGACTGTCCACCTTCAGTCCTTTCCTTCTAAACTCGTGATGGGAGAGGATACCAGTTTCTAGGTTCTCTCATTGTGTCTCCCTCCTTCCTTGTTCTCAAATAAGTACATAACAGGTTGGATATTTATAAAAGTTTCCTTCTGCCGGGCGCAGCGACTCATGCCTGCAATCCAAGCACTTTGGGAGGCTGAGGCAGGTGGATCACAAGGTCAGGAGATCGAGACCATCCTGGCTAACACAGTGAAACCTCGTCTCTACTAAAAATAAAAATTAAAAAAAAAAAATTAGCCAGGTGTGGTGGTGGGCACCTGTAGACCCAGCTACTCAGGAGGCTGAGGCAGGAGAATCGCTTGAACCCGGGAGGCGGAGGGCAGAGGTTGTAGTGAGCCGAGATCGCGCCACTGCACTTCAGCCTGGGCAACAGAGCAAGACTCTGTCTCAAAAATGAAATAAAATAAAATAAAACAAAACAAAACAAAAGTGTTTCCTTCATTTCATGCTGGAAAATAATACTAAGGAACTAATGCAGTTACAAAGCCGAAACAAATCTTGAGAGCCTCACACTAGAGTTAATGTTGACAGGACAGTAGTTGTTGGCTGAGATGGCTGCAGCTGGTCTTCTGTTTCTTTTGGATCCCTGGAATTGGAGCTCAGGGGCTTCCTTCTGACTTTATTCTTCTGACATCGTCTCCCCACTCTTGCTCTGCAGATTGTCACCTCCAGGGTCTTCTGTGATAACAGGTGATGGGACAGACAAGTGAACCTAAATGACACCTCTGAGGAGCTCCAGACTGGTCACACACCTGCTTTCTATAAGGCAAATGCCTTTCAGTCATTCCAACCCCTGTCACTGCCACCAAGAGTTAACAATGAACTATCATATTCCACTAGGTGGTTTAAAAAAAAGTCCCCAAGAAAAAAAAGGGACATTGGTCTGCCTCTTCCACCTAAAGCCAGTTCTGAGGAGCAGTAAATGCTGCAGATGTCTTCCCAGAGCAGTGCCTGTGGACTAGAAGGATAATGATTGGTTCTCTAAAAGGAGCTGCTTCAAAACACAACTCCTCCCTCTTCTGCCTTGGGTTGTAAACCCACTATCAGAATCCCAGGACACAGCCTGGTGCAGTGGCTCACACCTGTAATCCCAACACTTTGGGAGGCTAAAGCGGGCAGATCACTTGAGGCCAGGGGTTCAAAACCAGCCTGGCCAACATGGTGAAAATCACTTCTCTACTAAAAATACAAAAATTAGTCAGACAGGGTGGCGGGTGCCTGTAATCCCAGCTACTTGGGAGGCTGAGGCAGGAGAATCGCTTGAACCCAGGAGGCGGAGGTTGCACCACTGCACTCCAGCCTGGGCAATGGAGTGAGACTCCGTCCCAAACAAAGAAAAACAAAACAAAAAAAAAGAATCCCAGAATACAAAACCCCGTAAGTTAAGAATAATGTTTTCCACTGGTGAGCATATGTGAACCCACATGTGTGTGAGTCTATGTGTGCTCCTTGCCTTTCTTTTAGCCCCAAATGCTACTTCCCTATCTCCTCCCAGAGTTCCCTCCTTCACTTCAGTGTTTGGCCCTCTGTTATGCCTGAGATTTTCCAGGCATTATAAATATGCATTTTTGTCTCTCTACTCAACTAGGACACACCCAGGAAGGTATGGGTTTTGTCTCAATGTTCATTGCTGTATTCCTAGGACCTGGAATAAATAATGCCTGGCCACATTAAGTGCTCAATAAATATGTGCTGAACGAATGAATAATTGTGTGTGTGTGAATATATACGGGTGAGGTGTGAAAGGGCATGTGTGTGAGCATGCAAGTGAGACCCTGTGTATGTACACATGTACACACATGCAATGTACCAGGAACCTTCTGGGGATGGCCTTCCTTCAGCTTGAAAGTAATGAGACCCCCTAAGTGAGAGATGCCCCTGTCCCTTCCAGTGATGACCCTGCTGGTGCTTTCTCTTTTCAGGAGGAAACGCGCCTGCTCCTGCGGAATCGATAGTCAATGCTGTTTGGATTAACAAGGAGAGAAGGAGCTCACTGTCCCTGGAAGAGGCAGATTCCAAGGTAGACGGGAGGCTGGAGGAGGCTGCCCAGGGCTGTCTTCAGGCCCCCGAGTCTCCGTGGCACACGCACCTGGAGATGCATCATTTGGTTCAAACCTTCCCCCAGGACACCAGTCATCAAGTACATCACAGGGGCAAGCTTGTGGGATCTGACCAAAGGCTCCCTCCTGAAGGAGACACACACTTGTCTGAAGCCAATCAGATGATTCAGCAAGCAACCGGAATCCCAGAGGCTGCCCAGCTTCCATGCCAGGTGGGCAATACCCAAACAAAGGCAGTGGAATCTGGCTTAAAATTCAGCACTCAATGTCCTCTTTCCATAAAGAACCCACACAGGTCTGGCAAACCAGCTTACTATCCATTTCCCCGGAGGAAATCTCCCAGGATCTCCCAAGCTGCCCGGAACCTGGGCTTATATGGCTCACCCTGAAGCTTTCTATTCTGCCAGATGTCTTGACCTTGAGGCCACCTATGGCCTCATGGAAGAACCAATGAGGCAGAGCCACAACTAGGTCTCTAGCTATGAGCAAGAACTGTACTAACCCAATTATAGGAATTGTGGGAGATGAACTTCACAGTGGTAACATGGGTTTACCCTTCAATAAGAAACTTCCCAGGCCAAATGGCCCACAGTTTAGGATGAAGAGGACTGGTCAGTGCAGCCCCATTCTGACATTGATATGAGGTCCTGGCTATCCATTCCTTGGGGAAGACCAGTAAGACATCTGCTCCATCCCTGGAACTGGAGAATTTTGAAACATAAACCAGGGACTCTAGCCAATAGAATGCCTTAGCAATGCCCAGGGGTCAATGGGCATGGGCATTCTTGTTTTCAATGTCTTCTGATGATTTCTCACATATTCTGGAGAAGACCAGCTCTGAGAATTCAGACGCTTCTTCTGGTGGCTGTGTCTGGGGGGCCATCTCACTTAGAAGTCACAACACTCATTGGCAGTGATCACATCATTTCAATTTGGGCTTCCCAAAGTATGGTTACCCTGTATGAAGGTGAGATCAATGCTACCTACCATTTTGTGTCTTTAAGGAGTCTTTAGAAAGGGCTGATCATCTGCCACTGCTCACTGAGACATGTACATTCCAACATCATCACAGATTTATCTCCTTCCTTCCTTCTCTCCCTCCCTCCTTCTGTCTCTCCCTCCGTTCCTTCCTTCCTTCTTTCCTTCCTCTCTTCCTTCCTGTCTATTTCTCTCTCTCTCTCTGCAAGTTAATTTCTTATTAAAAACTGCCACTCATTGAAGATATATAATGATGGGATCCTGAACAAAAAGAGGCAAAGAAATTCTCCTGCTTGAAAAATATGCATTTCCTAGAGACTGCCTCCTGTTTAGTCCAACTTGGATCACTCAGATCCTTCCTGGGATCAAACACATATTTTTAAACGTAAGACAAAGCAACCAGGTGTTACTTGGGTGATAGGAAAAAAAGCTTGTCCTTCCTGATTAATGTTTAGCTTTAGTAATGCTATTTAAACACACCTAAGGTGCCTTTCCCTCATCTCAGGTGCTTTCTCTGTAAAGTTTCACCCCCACCTTTCTTTTCTCCCCATGGCCATCCAGTCTTGCCCATCTACAACCAGAGTTGTTAACTAGCAGTGTCATTACCTGTCAAAAACATGTAGGTGCCTCCTTGAACCACCCAGAAATCCACTCCAATTTGGGGATTGTCATTCCTTTTGTGAATAATTAATACAATTCAGTTGTTTTTAAAATATTCTAATAAAAAAGGACATTTTCTCAAAAAACTTTGTCCTTTGTTTTTGTTTTTAAAGAAGTATCCCACAAGTAATGTATCTTTCTATAGGTTTGCTTTTGTTTCCTGTTTTTGGAGATGGAGTCTCGCTCTGTTGCCCAGGATAGAGTGCAGTGGTGCAATCTCGGCTCACTGCAAACTCTGCCTCTCGGGTTCAAGCCATTCTCTTGCCTCAGCCTCCCGAGTAGCTGGGATTACAGGCATGCACCACTACCCCAGCTAATTTTTTGTATTTTTAGTAGAAACGGGGTTTCACCATGTTGGCCAGGCTGGTCTCAGACTCCTGACATCCCTCGGGTGATCTGCCTGCCTTGGCCTCCGGAAGCGCTGGGATTACAGGTGAGAGCCACTGCACCCGGCCAATAATTACATCTTTTTTTTTTTTTTCTCCTGCCTCAGCCTCCCGTGTAGCTGGGATTACAGGCATGCGCCACCATGCTCAGCTAATTTGTATTTTTAGTAGAGATGGAATTTCTCCATGTTGGCCAGGCTGGCCTCAAACTCCCGACCTCGAACTCCTGGCCTCGATCAGCCCTCCTTGGCCTCCCAAAGCGCTGGGATTACAGGCATGAGACACCACGCCCACTAAAAGGTAGAAATAACCCCTCCATGACCACAGCAGTGACTCAAACCTGCAATCTTCTGATCTGAAGTCAGATGCCTTATCCTTTAGGCCACACAGCCACCAGCTGGTCAACTCTTTGTTCAAAATGCCAAGAGCCTGGGATGGTCTCCACCGATAACATTAGCAAAAGAAGGTTTTCCTCTTCTCTTCCTAAGGTAGAAAAAAACCAGCTCACATTGTAAGTCCTGCATCAGGCAGGCCACCTTTACCTAGGGTTCCCCCAGGCTTCCATTTCCCAGTGAGGACTCCCCATGTGGCTGCCTGGTACGCACCATGCTTCAGTCTCCCCTAGTAGGAGGAGGACTGATCAGGCTCCAGTCTGGGCACTGCTGTTGGTAGAGGTGTGACCTTTATTAGATGAATTAAAGTCAGAGATTTCAGAGCCAAATCTCAGAGCCACAGATTTACCAGTTTAAGTGAAGGAGATAATCTTCCCTGGGGTGGTGAGGAACGTGGAGGACAGACGTTTTCCCTAAGCTAGAAACAGAAAAGGTTTTTTCCAAGAACAGCTACCAATTCAGCTGGGTCTAATAGCTTCTTCCCCACTAGGGGATAGGCTGCCCTCACACTATCTCAGTCGGATTCCCTAACTTTTCAGTCACTCCCTGACATTGAAGCCATTCATTTCAGTTGGTAAAACTTGGAACCGTTCAAATGTCAAAGTTCATCTCATAGTCAAGTCAGAGTCTACCAAGCTCCACCTCCTCCCAGCACAGCCTTGACTGATGCCTTTAAGGCTGGAGGGAGCGGCTCATTCCCACATTCTTCTTTCTCTGTTTACACAGATTTTTGACAAGGGGATAGGAAGGATGGAGAAGAAGCACAGATAGCCCTTTACGTGGCTGGCCACGGCGTAGTTTTGGTCTCTTCCCTTGGCCATTTACGCTGGCCTGGCTTGTCATCTATAGGTTTGGTATGGATACGTGGTGGCCCCAATGGGCTCCTGCTGAGGAGGGACTCATCCCAAGCAGCCCGCTAGCTTGGTCGGGGGGTGGGGGGTGGTCCCTTGGGAAGATGGTTATGCCTAGTCAAGCTGCCTCCACCCCATTGCATCAGGAGACTATTCTTTTTACCCTTTGCCCCAAGTTCATCTACCTCTGCTAGCCCAGCTCAGCCTGTAGACTCATAGGCAGCAGGCATGTTCTGCACCTGTGCGAGGTGATCATCCCTGCACCTTCTCTTTCTGGCCATTCTATACTCTTCTGTTTCCACTGAAGTCTCTCCTTTCTCCTGACCAGTCATCTAGTGGGAGGATAATGTGTCAATCCTCCTTCTCGCAGACACTACTTTATTTATTTATTTATTTATTTATTTATTTATTTTTGAGGTGGAGTTTTGCTCTTGTTCCCGAGGCCGGAGTACAATGGCACTATCGTGGCTCACTGCAACCTCCGACTCCTGGGTTCAAGCGATTCTCCTGCCTCAGCCACCCGAGTGACTGGGATTACAGGTGCGTGCCACCATGCCTGGCTACTTTAAATATTTTCAGTAGAGATGGAGTTTTGCCATGTTGGTCAGGCTGGTCTTGAACTCCTGACCTCAGGTGATCCACCTGCCTTGGCCTCCCAAAATCCTGGGATTACAGGTGTGAGCCACCTCTCCAGGCCGACAGTACCATCTTTAAAAGAAAGGTTCTGCTGGGTGCAGTGGCTCGTGCCTGCCTTCCCAGCACTTTGGGGGGCCAAGGCAGGTGGATCACCTGAGGTTAGGAGTTCGAGACCAGCCTGACCAATATGGTGAAACCCTGTCTCTACCAAAAATACAAAAATTAGCTGGGCTTGGTTGCTTGTGCCTGTAATCCCAGCTACTCAGGAGGCTAAGGCGAGGAGAATCACTTGAACCCGGGAGGCGGAGGTTGTGGTGAGTCAAGATCCTGCCACTGCACTCCAGCCTGGGTGACAGAG